GTTTTTTAAACTCTATAAGACTAAAGCAATCTTCATGAAATCAAGAATGCACAGCACATAAAATATATCTGGGGTGACTCTAGAAAGGTTAGTTGTAGAACACTCAGTTGAAGCCCTGGAAACTGGAGGGCTAGGGAACACGATCATGACAAAGTAACTGGCTCTGGGGTTGGTAGGTTCATTTTTGGATGTTTTAGTTGAAAATAAGTAAATAGCAACCTAAGGACTCCAAATTATAGTTAATAAGAGATTTATGCAATATGTTTTTCTTAAAGGTGATTATACATAGAAGTAAGGGCTTTACAAATACATAATGAATGTTCAGTTCAAACCACATGAACAATTTCTGGTCATGGGTCACAAGTTCTCATAATTTCTATAATTGTCTTCTATCCTTTAAGCAAGTTTTATAAAATTAAACTTTCTTTCTCATTAAACTCAGCAATATTCCTAATCTTTAATTTTTGCTGATGGGGAAATCTAATCATATTCCCAACACTGAACATCTTCATGTACTTTTAAAAAACTTTCAGTACTCTGGTTCTTAGTACCTGTTGATGACCATCTCTGCTCTAAACTCTGCCCGGCCTTCACTAACCATCACTCTCCTTTCTACTGCTATGCGATCAACTTTTTATTTTTATTTATCTTTATTTTATTTTTTTAAAGAGAAAAAATAAAAATAACAGTAAAACAGTTTCATAACAGGTTAGTAGGAGAGTTACAATAATTAGTGCATTGCGTATTGTCATCTTCGTAATAGTTATTCAGAGTACAAGATATGGGTATGATATCTGGCCCAAACAATATTAGTACAAAACTTTCTCTGAACTAGGAGAAACTAGCTGTATAACTATCTTGTGTATGAATATGTATTTTTTCTTTTTCCCTTCCTTCCTTTCCCCTTCCCTCCACCACAGATCAACTTTTAGATTCAATATGAGTAAGGTTATATGATACCTGTCTTTCTATGCCTGACTTATTTCACCTAATGATCTTTACTTTCACATGTTGCAAATGGCAGGATTTCATTCTTTCTTTAATGAATGAATAGTATTACATTATGTATATGTAGCATATTTTCTTTATCCATTCATTACTTGGTAGACACTGAAGTTTTCTCCAGATCTTCGCTATTATGAATTATGCTGAAATGAACATAGGCTTACATATGTTTCTTCAATATGCTTATTGCCTTTCCTTTGCATATAGCAAGGAGTGATGTTGTTGGATCATATGGTAGTTCTATTTAGAGTTTTTTGTATAATCTCCATGCTGTTTTTGCATAATGCCAACACCAGTTCATATTTCCACCAACAATGCACAAGGATTCCTTTTTCTCCCCAGCCTGGCCAGTATTTATTTTCTCTAGTTCTTTTTTTATAATAGCCATCCTTACTTGAATAAGGTGATACCTCATTGTGGTTTGATTCACATTTCCCTAATGACTAGTGATAATGACCATCTTTTTCATGTGCTTCTTTGGCTATCTGTAGTTCTGCTCTGAGAAGTATCTATTTGGATCTAATCATTATTTTCATCAGATCACTTGGATTTTTGTCTGAAAATCCAAAATCCCTAAGTTTTTTAACACAAACATGACACTACGAGTAGAAAGTTCTATACCCTGAAACTGTATCATACACACAATTATCACAAATGTTATATAAAATTACCTTCAGGTTATTTTATGTGTATAAGGTGTAAATGAGTTAGACTTAGGTCCTAGCCTCAAGATACCTCATTATACATATGCAAATACACCCAGACCCAAACAATTTAGAAATCTAAAACACTTTTGGTCCCTAGCATTTCACATAAGGGGTATAGATTGAATATCCCTTTTCCAAAATGCTTGGGACCAGAAGTGTTTCAGATTTCTGAAGTTTTTGAATTTTGGAATATTTGTTTATGCATAATATTTGGCAACGGGACCCAAATATGAAATGGGAAAATTTCATATTTCATAAATATGAATTTCATTAATCATCCATGTATACTTTATACCTGTAGCCTGAAACACTTCTGGGCCCAAGAATTTTGGAAAAGGGATATTCAATCTATATGCTGAAATCTCTCCAATACCACAAATCTAAATATTTTACTTTTTTGCTTAAAAACTCCTAATGGTTCTTGAATATCCATAAGATAAAATTCAAATTCTACATTATATCACAAAAGATCCTTCACAATCTGATCCCAACCTACTGTCCCAGTTTCTACGCCTGCTAATCATTTTCATTATACTGTGGTTAAGATAAAGTTATTTGTTCTACGAACACCTTGTTCTTTCAGCATTGGAGTCTTTCACATATTGTTCTGGTTAACTACTCCTTGCCTGCCTGCTAAAATCCCACTTGTACCTTAAAGCATCACTTCAGTTATTGTTTGTTTTGTGAAATCCTTTGAGATTCCATGAAGCAGAGTATTTGATTACATTTATATGCTTGTACAGAATTTTGATATTTACTAACTTAAACCGCTAGATTTTTTGTGTCTACATGCTTTAACAAATTAGAACTATAAGGTGAGGGACATGTTATTGTTCTTACTTCAGAGTATAAAATCTGGCTCATAATCAGAATTTAATAAATATTTGTTTGGATCTTCATTTTTTTCAAATCATTTGCTATGGTAGTTCTTAAAATTATTAAATGGATAGAGTGTTTTAACATTGTTTGATCCAAAATAGTTGAAAATATGGATTTTTGCTGTTCTGTGTGTTAATTAACCAACCATTACATCATGAACTATGCAATTTTTTTCATTTATTTCATGTGCAATTTCATTTTTCACTCCAGCAAGAAAGAGATCATTTTAGTCTTAATGTATAGGAATACTTACTTCTATATTTGGCAGAGTTATTGTCACCTGTTCACCTTTGCCAACCTCCAGATGTCCTTCACAGGAAGTGTCAATAGAAGCAGGTTTGAAGTCATCTAAAAATAGATATACATGTTATGTGAAATTATCTTCAGGCTACATGTATAAAGTATACATGAATGACAAATGAATTTCATATTTAGACTTGGGTCCCATCGCCAAGTACTATGCATAAACAAATATTCCAAAATTCAAAAACTTCAGAAATCTGAAACACTTCTGGTCCCAAGCACTTTAGAAAAGGGATATTCAGTCTATATTGGGAAATCCTTCCAAAACCACAAATCTCATTATATTACTTCTTTGCTTAAAAACCTCTAATCGTTCTCCAAAATACATTTTTATAAAATAGAGCATTAACTTGATGTAAAAAATAAGCATATATCAGAGTAGTAAATTGTTTTGAGAAGTCAGCAATTAAAATGCTTTAGAAGAGTTTTCATAGTAAAAATAAAATACAAAGCCAGGCCTGGTGGTTCATGCCTGTCAGGAAACTGAGGAAGGAGGATTCCCATGAGTTCGAGGCCAGCCTGGGCAACATAGTGAGTTTAAAGCCAGCCTGAACTGCAGAGCAAGACCCTGTCTTAAATGAACAAACTAAATAAAATACAGTCCAGTTTATTATTATTTTCTCTTTTTCCTTTTTGTCATACCTGGGATTAAAACCAGGGTCCTTGAACTTAGCTTCATCCCCAGCCCTTTCTAAATTTTTGAAGTTTGAGACAGGATCTGTTACTTGCTCAGGCTGGACTTGAACTTGTGAGTGCTGGAATCACAATCGTGTGCCACCACACGTGAGTCCCAGTTTATTTTCATACACTTAATTCTTTGAAAAATAGAAATAACTGTACTCTAAAACAGTATTCCTCAAACCACATTAAAGTTCTGTTTAAAAATGAACTAGACTAAGATGCTCTATTGTTAAAAGTTAAATAATGCTAGTGTTTGCAAAACTTGCTGAAAAATTAATGTAGGACATTTTTAGCTTTCAGTCTTTTTCTCCTATAATTTCCTTTTTTATAAATTAATTTTAGAAGCAGTGTGAAGAAGAGGGAAGAAGGACCACCAGACTGCCCAAAGCTGTGCTGCTGCATCTCGTGTCCAGCGCCTGGGTTGAGCCACTGTCATCACTATGCTCAAGAGAAAGGCTGAAGGGGATGCTAAAAGTGATACAGCCAAGGTGAAGGACGAACCACAGAGAAGATCTGCAAGGTTGTCTGCTAAAACCAGCTCCTCCAAAGTCAGAGCCCAAGCCTAAAAAGGCCCCTGCAAAGAAGGGAGAGAAGGTCCCCAAAGGTAAAAAGAGAAAAGCTGATGCCAGCAAGGATGGGAAAAACCGAGCAAAAAATGATGATGCCAAAACAGACCAGGCACAAAAAACTGAAAGTGCTGGAGATGCCAAGTGAAGTGTGTACACTTTTGATAACTGTGTACTTCTGTACAGTTTGAAATACTATTACCAAGTTCTATAAAAATGCAGATTTTTGTTGTACTATTTTTTAAGACACGTTATTAGCACACGGAACACTTCATTGTTGTTTTGGGGAGAAGGAGTATATGTGACTAGCACAGTGTCTCCAAAGTTGGATTGATGTGGGGAAAGCACCTTTCCCTTAGTTTTGAGAGGCTTCCCCTTGGCTCCCAGGAGGAGGGAGTCCCTGATGTTGACACATGTGGCCACCTTGGCATAAATGCCTTGTAGTATGGGACAATTCCCAGTTCATTTATGTCCCCCTTTCCTCTGCTATCAGCATAGATTTAACTTCCGTAAGCCCAGAGATCTATTGGGACGTGATTCCCAAAATTGATGGTACCAGTGTGTCAGGCAATCTGGACTTGCCAGTAACATTGAGATGGTGTCCCACAAAAGCAATGATTTCCTTTTCTAGATTGTGGATCTTCAGACTGATAATTCTGCCATATTTATGGTCTGAAAGTCAGGGTCAGCTTGTGGAAAGTTGTTAAACAAATGCTAAGTGTGAAATGTCAACCCTCCCTCTAAACTTTCCCCACTTCAAAGCCTCAAATGGAGACTTCATTGGATTTTATAGTGCTTTCTGATGTTTGGTAGTCCATCCAAGAATGGTGTTCAAAAGTTGTTGTATATTGTTAATGATTATGTGTCCATGTCCTGCCTGAAATACCATGATTGTTTCTGAGAAGTATCTTTAATAAAGCTAGATACAGTTTGGCATGGAAAAGAAATCAATTTTATTGGTTCACTTCAGATAAATATATATAATGATCATATTCATCATAGAGAATTTGTACCTGTACATAATGTATCTTGATTCTTATTTTTTTCCCCAATCCCCTACCCTCCCTTCAACCCCTCTTCCCCTGCTTATTTATAAAAGTTTTGTTTCCATATTTTCTTCTATTCACTTTTTTTTTCTTTTATTTCCTTGCCCTCTCTCTCTCCCCCTTTCCTTGTTCCCTTTCCCATTTTCCATAATTTTCCTAAACCATCTTGGGCAGCTCTACCACTTGTCTGCCATTCTAGCAGAATAAATCCATGCGTACACAAAACGTTCTTAAATTTCCCCAAAATGGTTAATAGGGAAACTGGAGAAAAACTTATCTTTTAACAGTTGGAATTTTTTATGGATAATTATACCACTAAAGGGTACGAAGGCCACTGCGTTCTCTCTTGCATGGTGACCCACCCTTACACTGTAGGGTGTACTTCTTGTCTTACTTTTACTTGGTCCAACTTACTCTGCAAAACCTGTTTCTTTCCTGCCTTTAATAAAACTTTGCTACCATTTAAAAAAATTGTGCAAATTTAACCAAATCTGAATTTGCCACTTCAGAAGAATTTAAAAGAAACTTTAATTTTGAGTTAAATCCTATTTCAAATAATGGTATTGAAACGTATCATCTAGAAAGAATTTAGGGTGCTAAAATGTCACATAGTAAACAAGTTTAAAACTTCTAAGATGTGGAAGCCATTTTAAAAATTCATATCAGTATACATAGTAACTGAGTGACTGATAATTCTGATACACAACTCCTCAGGTTATACTTATTTTTTAAGTTAACACTTTATTAATTTAAGGGAGGGAGAAAGAAGGAGGATGAAGAGGATAGTGAGGAAGGGGAGCTGGAAGGAATGGAGGAAGGGGAGAAGGAGGAAGATGAAAGAGGAAGAAGAGGAAAATAGAACATTACCCACCCCTCAAAAGCCCCTCCCAAGTAATTACCCCTGCCTCAAAGATTTATCTTTATACTAACAGCCCAAAAGGCAAAAGTCTAAATTCAAAATAATGGATCTTCATGGGTCGCATTTAGGGAACTGATGTTGGCAAGGAGAACCTTCCAATACTTATCAAATCATCACTGTCAATAAACAAAGGCTGGCCCTTGCTTCACAGTGACAATTATTATAGCTCACATTTATAGAACACTTCCCACATGTCAGGCATCATTCTTGGTACCTCACGTTTAATTCTTATAATAATTCTATGGAAAAGAAAATGTGTTCCTTCCTTAAAAAGCTAAGTAGAAATGAATATAAAATGCATCAAATTATTCTTAATAACATATTTCATTCTTCATGCTGCTTTAATTCAAAACTGAATATATATATGATGGTTCATCTTGATTATCAACTTGATGATTTAGAGATGTCTAGCACATTACTAAAGCACAGTTCTAGCTGTGTGTGTGGTGTTTCCAGAGATGACTGGCATGTAGACCAGCAGACTGAGGGGGAAGACCTACCCTGACTGTGGGTGGCACCATGTAATAGACTTGCAGCCTGGATGGAATGAAAAGGGAAAGTAGGAAGTCAGTTTGCATTAGAAAGCTCCAATTCTGCTCAAGTACATATCTTTTGCTACTGCTGTGGCTTGTGGATATCATACTCCAGCTTCTTTGGCCTTTAACACAGACTCACACCAGCACTCTCTACGAAGTTCCAAGTCTTCAGTCTTGGACTGGCACAGCATCCTTGAATACTCTTGTTCTGAGGCTTCCAATTCTTGGACTGAGCAGCTGAAGTCTCTGGCATTCTGGTATGTAGATGGCCATTGTGGACTATCCCATTTCTGAGCCTATAAGCCTAGCTAATAAATTCCCTTGCACTAGTCTATAAAATATAATGTATAACTATATATATTTTCTACTGATTCTGTTCTCCTACAAAATCCTAACCAATATAATATGTAATGGTTATCTCTTAAAATCTCAATGTTTATTCCTAGATTTTTAAGAAACAAATATAAACACATAAGCAATATCACTATATTATCTTTCTAACTTTCAGAATGATCCCCTCCCAATCTTGCTGAAGACAAACTAGTGTTCAATCAATTGAAGGCTAAACTACTAGAAAACCTACACTGTGCCCCACCTTTTTTCTGTGATCTTGTACTCGTAGAATTTGAGTCTTATTTCAAAGTTCTTCCTTCCCCAAATTTCTGTATTGTTCAGAACCTCAATTTCTTCTTCTCTCCTGTAGCATTTACTATACTATGCATAAAAACCTAATGTAAACTATGTGATATTACTTCTTTGTGGACATGTCCTGTTGTAGGTTTTTTAAAGCACAGTGCCTCATAATTTACTCCAGAACAGTGTTGTTTGCATACCATCTTTAACTTAATAGCTATCTAAAAGATTTTTGTAATTGACCTGGGTTCATATTGTTTACCATTTTCTAAAACACTTCCAAACTTACTTTCAGTGTATATAAGGTGCTGAATTATGTGTAAAATCCTTGTTTTCTAATTATTTCCTGTGAATCAGATTAATTGCTACTTCAAAACTTCTACCTTCTTTAGAGGAGATGTTGCCATATTTCTTTTGCTCTTTCCTTAGTGGACTTTTGTTTTCAGAGAAGGTACTTATTACTTGACATCTAGAAATTCTATATGATAGCTATGAAAAACACTAGAAATAGCACCTCTCTGACCGCCACTATTTTTGACAGTGACAAAAGGGCAATACTGAAAGATATAACTGTCATTTAACTACAGCTAACTGTTACTTTAAAGGAGAGACCAGTCACATAACACAGGTGGTGACACAGATTTGTGGGTACTGTAATGATCAG